CTGTCATGCTGTAGGTTCCCTTACAGAATGCCTCTGTGACTGTCATGCTGTAGGTTCCCTGATAGGCTGCCTCTGAGACTGTCAGACAGTCATCGTTAGCAATTTAGTAATTATTCTTTGTCTTTTCCTCTCTGTGTATTAGTGTTTCAGTTATGCTATATATGTAAAATGATACTTCTTTTTGGCTTAACTATAATGACATTTTAAGGAAATGGGATTGATGACATTTTATTTCTGTTATTTTTTATTTGGAAAACGTTCTTAGTTGCTTTTGTGGCAAGGCCAGTATTAACTGTGTGTGATTGGTATTCATTATTACCCTTGTAATAATAGTATGGGTGTCTTATTGAGTCAGCTGTAAGAATTATACTGCTAGTAAAGATAGGCTCCTCTACAGTTAAGCCTGTGCCTGAACATATCACAGGAAGAAGGGAGAGAGATACAGTTCTTGATGCAACATTGTATTATTAGTAAGGCTCTTTCAAGGAAGTATATCTAGAACCACAATAGAAATACAAATAACTGGGCAGTGCCTGTGGCTTAAAGCAGTAGGGCACCAGCCCCATATGCCAGAGGAAAAAACCGAAAAGAAAAGGAATATATACACTACATATACATATATTTATACTGTCATATATGCTTTCATATAGCATACTACATGTGCTTACATATAGTATAAATATATATTTCATATTTACATTCACATAGTACATCCAGTTTACACATACATACATGCATACTACATATATACACACAGAGGGTGCCAGAAAGTATATATGCATTTTAAGAAAGGAAAAATCTATATTAAAATTGTAATAATATGTACCAATAGCATTTGTTGTCTTGTATCTCTGAAGTCAAACATGACCTGAGTATTATAATTTTGATATAATTTTTTTGTTTCTTAAAATGTGTATACTTTTTTGGCACCCTCTGTGTATATGTTGTGGAAAGAGTCTTTTCTACTTTCTGCTAACCTGGAAGGTTTTAAGCCTTCCTGATATTTACTGTTTGGATTGGCTGTTTAAAATCTTTCGTGTGTTGATAAAGTAGTCATTAGGTTCATTATGAAAGCCATTTAAACTACTGTAATCAATCTTGCCTGCCAGGTTTCTGGCTTGAGTTTACTTGCTGCCCTGTTTTTTATTTCATTGTCTTATTTTAAGCACATGCTTCTTTTCATACACTAGAATTGTCATACCCAAGCCAGTTTTTCTCTGATCTTTATGTGAGAAGATTTCTAAGTATCAAATATATGGAACATTATTATTTGTCAATTTTAGATGAATTTCTTGAAGAGCATCATCGAGTCCTAGAGTCTAGACTAGGCTCTATCAGCAGAGAAATTACAGATAACAGAGCATGTGCTAAGGAAGAACTGGAAAGCCTCTACCGGAAGGTGGTCAGCTACGTGTTGCTGCGCTCCGGCCTGGGGTCCCCAACAGACATCAAGATTGTCAGAGAAGCAACAGGTAAGACACAAGTGATTCCATTCCATAGGTAAAAACATGATCATATCTGCTGCAATGGTCATATATGATCATATATTTTATAAAATATGTTAAATTAACAGTGTTAAAGATTAAAATTTCTTTTTTATCTGAAAAAAACTAGCTTAAGAGGTTAAAACTTACCCAGACTTCTTACACTGTGTATCATTTCTAAAACGCAAGTAGCTCCTCTAGAAAGTGAAACACTACTCATTTCCTTAGAACTGCACATTCGGGGGACCATCATACTTCATTAGAGAAACACTGGTGATTGAGGGCTCCCAGCCGCGTGAATGAATGGAACAGCTGGAAAGGGGTATTTCATATTGATGGAAGGAATTGAGTCTGTCACCTAAAATGGATGATGGAAAAGTGCATTGCTTTATCCTAAGTAGGCAAGATATCTGGCCTTCTTTTGGCTTTCTTCCATAATTGTTTTTCTACTCAGAACCCTAAGTAGAAAACTGTTTTAATGCCCTTGGTCAAAAAATTACTGATGGATGTTTAATTATTAAAAATGGACATGAGGCTATGGCATTTTCAGCAGATCAGCTTTGATGTATGATCAAGTTTGCTACGTATTCTGTAAATGTGGTATCAGAAATTTAACGAATCATGTACATTACCTTAGATAAAGCTTTTAACTTTCTACAGAAGGAAAGAAAGAGACTTGTACTTTAAGTTCTGATATTTTAAGATATCATTGTGTTGCCTTTTTTATGATTTATTTTAGCTGCTCTACAGAGTGTTTTTCCTCAAGCTGAGCTTGGGACTTTTCTAACTCTTTCTAAAAAGGACAAAGAACGCCAGCTGAAAGAACTTGCTATGATTGTTACTGGAATTCGTTTGTTTAATAAAGACTGTGGAAAAGGAGGAGAAGGCATCGATGATCGTGGGTATACCACTAGGTTAATTCTAAAGGTTTAAAAAGGTTCAATGTTTAAAATTCACGTTGTGACATGGTGACCTTTCCCCAGTCTCTGCCTGGGGTCTCTGCTGGGCACAGTGGTTGCTTTGGCACTGAAATACTTCAAAGCATTATTTAAAATGTATGGGTCCCCATGAAACCTTACTATACCGAAGTTTACCAGGAGATCTGGGTGGGAATGGGGTTGATGAGCTTCATTGTTTATAAAATCAGGAGTGCTGATAAAAGAAATAAAGCTTTGAAAGCTCCTGCACTTGTTCATGGTCATCACTAACCAGCCTCACTTGGAGTGCACAAGAGATGGACCATCAGTCTGCCTATATAACTAAGCAAGCTGTGTCACATGGGAACATGGACTGTCCCTGTGTACTTGTATAAGTACCGTGTACTCATGGCATGAATAAATGTGTCTGTGTGATGCACCAAAAATAATAATAATAAATAAATAAATAAATAAATAAAATTCATCTTGCACAGTGAAGAAAACAGTAACACACCAGAGGCATTCTGAGATTTAAGATTCACAATTTTGATTCTTCCTTAGGAACAACTCCTATTAATAATGGGTAGTAATTTTTGCTTTTACTAGGGTACAATTTTAAATTTCATATACTATGAAGCTAGTATGAGAAAGTGAGGGGGCCTGCCCAGAAGCCAGCCTCCCCAATTTAGTGGAACTTTGTACTCTTTACTCTAAGTCAAATAACCAAATGGAGTAAAATTCAGTGATTTAAAAAATAAAAATCACCCTGAAATGAAAACAGTTTCTAGTACAAATCTCAACATTCAGGAGCATCTACTATGTTACAGACTTAATGCATTCTTTATCAATAAGTTTGAAAATACTTATGAAATATTTAATGATTTACCAACAGAAGTTATAAATTTGGTACTCATGTAGGCCCTTTGATAAAGTTGTCTCTCACCGGATTAGTAATTTAGTATAGTAGGGTAATTTTTACATTTTAAAAGCTGTACTAAAGGCAGTGCCCGTAGCTCAGTGGGTAGGTAGGGCACCATCCACATATACCCAGGCTAGTGGGTTTGAACCTGGGCAGGGCCACCTAAACAACAACAACTGAAAAAACAATAACAAAAGTAGCTGGATGTTGTGGTGGGCACCTGTAGTCCTGTAGTACTTGGGAGGCTAAAGCAAGAGAATCCTTTAAGCCTAAGAGTTTGAGATTGCTGTGACACCATAGCACTCTACCGAGGGTGACATAGTAAGACTCTGTCTCTAAAAAAAACAAAAAACAAAAAGCTGTACTAAAAAGTCAGTTCTTGGCTTGGCACCTGTGGCTCAAGTGGCTAAGGCACCAGCCATATACACCTAAAGTGGACGGTTCAAATCTAGCCTGGGCCCGCCAAACAACAATGATAGCTGCAACCAAAAAATAGCCAGACGTTGTGGTGGGCACCTGTGGTCCCAGCTACTTGGGAGACAGAGGCAGGAGACTCCCTTGAGCCCAGGAGTTGGAGGTTGCTGTGAGCTGTGATGCCAGAACACTCTACCCAGGGGGACAGCTTGAGGCTCTGTCCCCCCCAAAAATAAAAATAATAAAAAGTCAGTTCTCATTTTTATAACTCTCCTCCCCACCCACCCCCACCTCCCCGTAGACTATTCTGTTATTTTTTAGCACCCAGATGAGTTTTTGTTTTGTTTTGTTTTTGAGATAGAGTCTTACTCTGTTGCCCTAGGTAGAGTGCCCTGGTATCACAGCTCACAGAAACCTCAAACTCTTGGGCTCATGCAATTTTCCTGCCTCAGCTTCCCAAGTAGCTTGGACTACAGGTGCCCACCACCACACCCAGCTAAGTTTTCTATTTTTTGTAGAGATAGGGTCTACCTCTTGTTCAGGCTGGTCTTGAATTCCTAAGCTCAAGCAATCCACCTGCCTTGGCCTCCCATAGTGTTGGGATGACAGGTGTGAGCCGCTGCAGCCAGTCCCAGAAGACATGCCTCTTTACTTCCCCGCCTCCCTCTCTCCCTCTCTCTCACTTTTTTTTTTTTCAGTTTTTGGCCAGGACTGGGTTTGAACCACCACCTCTGGTATATAGAGCCAGCGCCCTACTCCTTTGAGCCACAGGCGCTGCCCTCTCTCTTTTCTTTCTTTCCTTCTCCCCTCCCTCCCTCCCTCTCTCCCTTCCCTTCCTTCCTTCCTTTTTTCCTTTTTCCTTTCTCTCTCTCTCCTTTCTTCTCTTAACAAATAGAAAAGAAAAAGGAGGGAGGAAAGACCAGTGGCTTTTATAGAGGTATGTGATCAAAGAACACATACACCAAAGTCTACCTGTCTTTTGTTTGGTTTCTTTATGGAATGGAACCCGTGAAACACAGGTCTTATTATTAATTTGATTGGAAAAAAGCGTACCTTTAAGGCTGAAAGTGTGACTACTTTCTAGGCCTTTTCTCCTTAGTTCTTTTTAGACTCTTTTGTGTCTGCCTTTAAACACAGTGCCAGCTATTCTGCATGAAGCGGTCCCAGCCACCACTCAGCACATTGATTCCCAGCTGGAGACAGCCCAGACCCTGGCTTACCGCTACACAGCTGTGCTCGAGAAAGCAGTGAAGAACCCGCTCTTGAGGAGTGAACTTCAGCCATATAGGTTGAAAGAGGCCCTATATAATGTGCGACAATATGAGGTCTTCCTTCACATCATTTTGGTGAGTTAATTTCACCAGATCTGGCCTTTTCCTTCTAATGCAATCTCTCATTTGCAGTGAAGCTGAACCAGATAGAACTAGGTCACTGAGTAAGGAGGCAGCTTCAATAACTGCTCGGTTTATATTGCATTGGTAGGGCCAGGAATTAAAACAGAAATGCAAAAGTCTGGTTTCAATTTTAATGAAATATATACTGGCAGAAACTGATTTTATAGTTACTCATTTCTTTGGTACTTGATGGTATGATTGTCAATGGAACTACATTTTATATGAGTGAATATAGATTTCTTGAGGGATAGAATAGGATGTGTTCTGACCCCTGCTCTTTTTTACTTGTATCTTCATGGCATGATACTGCTTTTGAATGCACTTAGTCTGTCCTCTGTCCTTAGCTAGCTATAGAGAATAAAGAGAGAAACATCCTGATGATGTGACTTCATTGTAACAAACTAGGGGTTGTCCTCACAAGTAGCCTACCATCTCATTGCCTTCTGAAGGAAGGACTTTAACTCACCTCTTGAAAACCAATCATCCTCTTGATGTTCATTTAATGTTAACTTGTGATTATCAGCCTTATGTGACTAGTCAGATACTAAGAGGATTTTATCAATTTATTTTGAAATGTGCATGGGGCCACAGAAGTAGAACCTCACATTCACTTTTGTTGTCTGCATTCACTGAGGATATTATAAGAAAAAAACGTGGGGCCTGGCATGGTGGCTCACACTTGTAATCCTAGCACTCTGGGAGGCTGGGGCAGGAGGATTGCTTGCATTTAGGAGACCAGCCTGAACAAGTGTGAGACACTGTCTCTACTAAAAATAGAAAAATTAGCTGGACATTATGGTAGGTCCCTGTAGTCCCAGCTACTTGGGAGACTGTGGTAGGAGGATCTCTTAGGCCCAGGAGTTTGAGGTGGTTGTCAGGTATAATGATGCTGTGGCACTCTACCCAGCACAACAGAGTGAGACTCTGTCTCAAAAAAAAGAAAAAGAAGAAACCTTGGGAAAGTATCACACAAATGCCATTCATTATATATAATCTTCTCACAGCTTTCCATCATGAATCGTATTGAACCCACTAACTCAGTCTTAAGTTCTCATTGGCACTACACCTCTCACCACTAGAGAGACAATGGACATGCCAGTGATGAGTATGGGCACTGCAGCCGGGCTGCATGGGTTTTGATCCTGGCTCTGCCTCTAAGGCAGTTGTTCATTTCCTTGTGCCTTGGTATGCACACCTGTAAAATGGGAGGATTCATTGTCTCCATTATGTAAATAGAGCAAAACAACAGTGTGTGGCACAAAAGCTTGCTAAACTGGGGAGGATGATGTTTGTGATCACCATTGTCATCACCATTGCTGGGGTCTTAGCAGAACAGCTCTGATTTCATTTTGGAAAGAGAAGAGGCTGAAGAGCTTTATTTTTCCCAGCAACATCTCATTTCCTTGCTGTTCTAGTTATTGAGAAGGGTAACTTTCTCATCTTAGCCCTCTTCATGGCTGTGTCAGAGTCAGGGTGAGTTTTCTTGGCTTTCTCTTTGCTGCTCTAAGAGTCTTTCTTTTCATTGTTATGTTTTTTTAGTTATCCCAAACTTCCCTATCAGTCTATCTTGGTGACAGTGAAGGTTTTTATAGAATGGATATTGCTTTAATTATTATCTCTAGGTTATAAAATATGTCAATTTATATTTATTTAATATTTTTTCTATATTGAAATCTATGAATATTCTTTTTAAAGTCAGATTATTTTGATAGATATTAATAAAAATTTTTATTTATTTATTTAGACAGAGTTTCACTCTATTGCCCCAGGCTAGGGCACTGTGGCATCATAGCTTATAGCAACCTCAAACTCCTGGGCTTAAAAGACCCTCTACCTCAGTCTTCCTAGTAGCTAGAACCACAGGTGTGTACTGCCATACCCAGCTAATTTTTTTTCTATTTTTAGTAGAAAAAGGATCTTACTCTTGTTCAAGCTGGTCTCAAACTCCTGAGCTCAGGTGATCTACCTCCCAGAGTGCTAGGAGTACAGGTATGGGACATCACACCTGGCCTGATAAAATTTTTTGAAGTACTGGTTTTGATTTTAAAATGTGTCTTGTCAAATTTACATTCAGTTTATGTAAACATTTAACAATCTAGTTATAGCCTAGGTAATTTAATGAGTTAAAAAAATTTATTTTGATCAGCTGTTTATGTGCTTTGGTGAAAATATTCTGGAAAAGAAAAGCTAACAATAATTGTAGTCTTGTTGACTGTCTCAGTTGAAAAAACAAAATTCCATCCTCCATGGGCTTTTAAAATGCAAGCTAGTTGCCAAAGATAGAAAGACATTTACTGTGCAAGTAGAAGTTGTGTTTGACAGAACACCTGTAAGTCAAGACTGCTTTCCTCCCAAGCTATGCTTATAGGGCCCATTTATAGATTAGGCAACATAGGACTTCTTATTATTTTCTGATAATGCAAGTAAAAAAAGCAGTTAGGTAGAATTTGTACTTATTTTATTATTGTCATTATAGTAAGAATGTTAAACATTAAACAAGTTCTAACACGTTTGGGTGTATAATATGGGGTTGTTGGTTATGGTAACACCACAGTACCACTGACTAGGTTGGATAACAGATCTTAGATGCATCATACATAACTAAAACTTCGTATCTGTTGGACAGCAACTTCCCATTTCCCCTTTGAGTACTTCTATGAGTTTGAGTAGACTTGTTGAAATTGTTCATGGCAGAAAGTATGAGGGACTCACAAAAGTTCTTTTTAAGGGAGTAGAGGGAAAGGTGAAAGAGAGCCATGCTGGGACCAAGGGCTTTCCTCAGCCTTTGACTGTTACGATGGCATTTTAAAAAAGTGATAGCATTCCTGGAGGACTAATATTGTAATTAAAAGCTCTACATGGTTGTGAACTCTGCACATTTCATATTTGGTAAAACATAAATAGAATGATTGTTCTAGGACATTATCAGAAAATATTTAGAAGCTCTGTGAAAGGACCTGCAGACATAGCTTGGGGAAGGGGACCTACACATTCTTCAGTTATAGGTTTTAATAAGGATTATGTGTCAAATGCGACTTTCACTTTGGAGAACATATGCAAATTTAGTTCTGTTTCTTATTGCTGTTGCACAAATCTAAAAAGACTTTAAAGGTTGTGCTTTCATGTTTGATTCCTAAAACAGTGCTAACAAACAAGGGAGACAGCCTCTGTGGGGTAGACCCCAGACCAATAGATGTTAGATAATATTGTAGGGGAAGCAAGAAGAGGGGAATTGGGTAAACAGTAGTGTGGGTGAAATTAAAAGAGGATTCATTTTACATTTGTGAATAAATTTTTTTAGTCAGAATACAATAACATCTGATATTTCTGATGAAGTAATTATTTTTGTCATTTAAAATAGTATGGAAAGCATATAATTAGGCTGCAGGTGTCTAAGAATTCAAATGTACTTTTTTCTCTTCACATAAATGTAACCCTTGTACACTGTACTAATAACCCACACCAGTGCTGTTTCTGGTCCTGGCTTATCATTGCAGCATAATGGGTCAGAGCTGGGCTCTGGGCTTTGTTGGTTTCAGGTAGAGCCGTGATTCCTCCTCTTATTGTAGCTGTATATATTAACACTTGGATGATTAACTTACCTTTCTTTTCTTTGGTTATCTCATTTGTACTTACCTATTTTTGTACTTCTGAGTATTTAATATGGTGCTTAACAAATAATAAGATTAAACGTAATTATTTCAAATTCAACATTTAACAACTTAAGTTTCACCACTGGTACCCCTTTCATATCAGAAATCTATTTTTTTTCTTTCAATGCTATGATTTTTGAGATTTTCTACATTCTTCAATATGATTTTTGTTTAATTTTTCATACTTTATCCATAGTTTAAGAAAGTAAATTTTTCTCAAGTACTGATTTATTGATACTGTTTATAAGTAGCACACAAAAAGTTCAGTTTCACAAAGAGTAACACTCAGTGACCTATTAATGCAAATCTAATTCTTATTTTAAGCTAAATTCAATAACAGTACAATTAACTGAATATAAACAAAATCTGTGTGTCTTGAATTAGAAAAGTGGTTTCCATATTCATAGCCACAGAAGGTTCAAGTATACATTTCACAATGGAAAAGTACTTACAAATATGTTGGTAAAAACAAAAATAACCCACAACCCTAATTCTTATCCTGCTAACCGGTTTTTAAGGAAAGCTATTCCTGCTACTGAAAGCATTTACTTTTAGAACAGGGGTTCTCAGCCTGTGGGTTGGAACCCCTTTTTAACAATGAAAATTCATTGCAGCATTAGGAAGGTTGAGAACCACTGTTTTATTTATTATTATTATTATTATTTTGTAGAGACAGAGTCTCACTTTGTTGCCCTCAGTAAAGTGCTATGGCATCACAGCTCACAGCAACCTCCAGCTCTTGGGCTTAGGCGATTCTCTTACCTCAGCCTCCCGTGGAGCTGGGACTATAGGTGTCCACCACAATGCCTGGCTATTTTTTGTTGCAGTTTGACCTGGGCCAGGTTTGAACCCACCACCCTTGGTATGTGGGGTCAGCGCCCTACCCACTGACCCACAGGCGCCACCAGAGAACCACTGTTTTATTTTTTTATTTTTTGGCAGTTTTTGGCCAGGGCTGCGTTTGAACCCTCCACCTTTAGCATATGGGGCTGGTGCCCTACTCCTTTGAGCCACAGGCATTGCTCCCAAGAACCACTGTTTTAGAAGGTTTATTTTTCTTGAAACAGAGTCTTGGTTGTTGGGGGTGTCAGCTTACCTCACAGCAACCTCAAATGCTTGGACTCAAGTGATCCTCCTGCTCAGCCTCCCAAGTAGCTGGGACTACAGGTGCCTGCCACACTTTTTTATTTTTAGTAGAGATGGGGTCTCATTCTTGCTCAGGCTGGTCTCAAACTCCGGCTTCCCAGAGTGCTGGGATTATAGGTGTGAGCCACTGTGCCTGGCCTATTTTTGGAAGTTTTAATCTGATTGGAGAAAATGTGTTCTTCTAAAACTTAAGGCCTGAAGTCATAAAATCCTTCCAGTGTGGAAATATTCACATGAAACTTTTAGTTTCTCAAAAAAAAATCACTTCTGTTATCTAAAGAAAATAATACTAAAACAAGTTAACTTTTAAAACAGACAAATATTCCTATATAAACTTCTATTTTTCTATATTGTCTGCTGACAACAAATACCAGTTCACTACCTTTAACACCCTTTCAGATTACTGTTGTCTAGAAACTGCAGAATACGTTGAAGCACATGGCCCAGCTGTCATAGAGCTAACAATGCTGTTTAGATTTCATGTATTTAAGAACTGCAGGATAGCTAACAAAGGCACAGATATATCTATCATATAAAACTACTTCATCCTTATAGTCAGTAGTAAGAAGAAGGCTCATGGTTTGTAAGGTATTTTATGTGTAATCATTGAAACCTGATAAGTAATTCAAGTATAGTTACATAAAGGCAGGCAATTAAAAGTCCAGCAATCACTCTAAGATTGAAGGCATGAAAATAAAGGCTGAAAACATTCTGTTTCTCAATCTTTTATTCATATAGCCAGATAGCAGGACCTTACTTTAGAAAATATACCGTTATGGCCAGGCTCTAGGGCTTAAACTTGTAATCCTAAGCACCCTGGGAGGCCAAAGCAGGTGGATTGCTACAGCTTAGGAGTTCAAGACCTGCCTGAGCAAGAGCAAGACCCTGTCTCTACTAAAAATAGAAAAAATCTGCTGGTCATTGTGGCAGGTGCCTATAGTCTAAGCTACTTGGGAGGCTGAGCCAAGAGGATTGCTCAAGCCTAAGAGTTTGAGGTTGCTGTGAGATGCCACAGCACTCTACCCAGGGTAGCAGAATGAAGCTTTGTCT